TCGCACGAATTCTAGCAAGCCTGGTTTTCTGTTCAGGTGGACAAACACGGGTGTTTAGCCTAATACTTCCTCTTCCTGTGGTCAATGTGTGTGTGTAATCGTGGTGTGACCGGAGGTCTGCATGCTCATGTCTCGTGGTCAATGTGTGTGTGTGAATGTGATCGTTGGTTGACTGGAGGTTGCATGCTCATGTCCAACATGAAGAATGGTAATGTGTCATTTGTTCCCTTTAGAGACGTCAAAAGTACTTTGATACTAAAATTGAAAAAAATCTATAATGTGGGTGGGTTTATATTGCAAAAAGTTGATATTTTGACACCATATCTAAAATATAAAATATAAAAAATAAAAATAATAATATAAAAACAAAAGAATACAAAACACTAATGAAATAGTTTTTATTCAGCAAGGATGCATTAAACTGACCAAAAGTAACAGAAAATAAATGTATAATGTCACAAAAGATTTCTATTTCCAATAAGAGCTTATTCTTTTGAACTTTCTATTTATCAAAGAATCCTGAAAAAAATGATCATGGTTTCCACAAAAATATTAAGTTTTCAAAACTGATAATAAGAAATGTTTCTTGAGCACCAAATCAGCATATCAGAATGATTTATGAAGGATCGTGTGACACTGAACACTGGAGTAATGGATAATGAAAATACAGATTTGGAATAAATTAAATTTGAAAATGTACAAAAATCGAAAACAGTTATTTTCAATTGTAATAATATTTCACAATATTACTGTTTTTACTGTATTTTTGACCAAATAAATGCAGCCTTGGTGAGAAAAAGAGGCTTCTTCAAAAAACAAACAAACAAACATAAAACATCATTGGCTGTTCTCTTTATATCTCCAGATAAATTGTATCGTAAAATTTCAGTGGTACTAGTATCGACAACTTAAATTTGGGTATTGTTACAATCCTAATGTCCTTTCTCACTTCTCCCTCTCCTACTCTCGTTCTCAGTCCCTAGTTAACTTAAAAAACAGACTGTTGTTCTTGGGTGGACTGCTTGTACTGTTTATCTGCATGTGTGTGTGTGTGTGTGTGTGTGTGTGTGTGTGCGCGCGTGAAGAGGGGGAGTGGGATATCTGAACTGTTTGTGTCTCCCATGGGGTAGCTGGAGTCGAACAGCTAAATTAAGAGAAGACACTCATCTAATGAGATATGATGTGATGTCACTACGTCTGTATATTCCGATCACCCCCAAAGGAGAACCGGCTACAGAACACAGCATCTGTTCTTCCTGTGCCTGGTCTCATTGGCCACGTACACACTGCAGCTAAATACAGTCGTGACTCCTCTTATTAGTGCTTAATCTCATTCTGTACACAGAGTTCCATCATTTAAGTTTGATGATGACCAAATAATTGCATAGTATGTACAAAACTGGTTTAAACGACTTAAGAGCATAAACAGTTGAGTGTGGTTTAGTAAACACTGACAGATGTTGCTAACCTTCGCTCTCAAGAAAAGGTTTAAACAACTATGTCAATCACCATTTTCCATCCGGACATGAAATGATGATTTATGACAGGAATGCTCATGACAGATGTAATGACAACACTCCTGCCATAATAAATTCAGATGTCTAAACCGCAGGCTAATGCATCGACTATAAATGTAGTGTGTGCGTGTGGACAGCTTCATTGATTATGGCAGTCACTGTGCAGATGGGCTGTAAAACTTACATTTAAATTTAATTGCGAAAGTAATCAGATTAATTGAGGTTTCAGAGTTAATTGAATCGTTTCTTTTAAATAATCCTGAAGCTAAGCATCAGGATATGCAAATTCCATCATTACTGATTGGAGCGGAGTGGCATACCACTTGCTGCATATTCAAACATCAAAGTCATGATAAGAGCAAACCCAATGAAACTTATTTTGTTCACTGGTCCCTGGCATAAAAAAAAATGAGGACATATACTTGGGCTTTTAAAGGAATAGTTCACTCAATAAGCCAGGAGAGAAATATGCACAGATCAAGACCCGTTTACTGTCCAAAATGAGTTTAAACAAATATATCAGTGGATTTTGATGGGCAGCAGATGGACTTTTTTAAGGTACAAAGTGTTATGGATTATGGATTGGTATTTTGGCCAGAAGCAACGGTTTGAAGTAAAAATGCCTTAATGATGGATTTGTTTCTTACAAACACTTTTCACTTCACAAGATATTAATTGATGGACTGGAGCCACGTGGATTACTTGTGGATTATTGTGATGTTTTTATCAGCTGTTTGGACTCTCATTTTGATGGCACCCATTCACTGCAGAGGATCCATTGGTGAACAAGTGATGTAATGCTGAATTTCTCCAAATCTGTTCCGATGAAGGAACAAATTCATCTACATCTTGGATGGGCCTGATAGTGAGTAAATTTTCAGCTAATTTTCATTTTTGAGTGAACTATTCCTTTAAATACACCCAAAATTTTGCAGTGTGCATGTGGCTGTTTTCGTTTTTGCTCTTTTCGGACATCTTTTTTTATATCTGCCGTTGTCAAAGTTTCTCTGCCTGTGTGTCTTGTTTCTCTGTGTTTGTGTTTTTGTCTGCTGTGCTGAAGTACGGGATGTGATCTGGGCATGCACTAGAAATGATGGTTCCACAGAGACCTTCAGTTAACATACCACAGAGACACACACACCACTCAGCGTGCAGACATCTGGGTCACAAGCACATTGTGCCAAGTTGTATTAAACACTATCCCAGCGTCTTTTTTCTGTGTTTGTGTGTACATGGTTCTGCCAGGGTCTAATATCTTAGCCACAGCCAGACCAGCTTGTATTTGAAGAGAACATCTACTGTCTTTTTTCTGTGTTTGTGTGTACATGGTTCTGCCAGGGTCTAATCTCTTAGCCACAGCCAGACCAGCTTGTATTTGAAGAGAACATCTACATTTGAGCCCAGCTCCGTATAACTCTGTGAGATCAGAGGCCGTGGACCCACGCTGGGGTCGTGGGAGGCCCGTCTAGGGTACCTTTTGGGCACGACGCTTCTCTGCGCGCTGACTCTGATGGTAGATCCGACTGAAATTGGACACAATGACGGGAACGGGAAGAGCGATCACCAACACGCCACTCAAAGAACAAACAGAGCCAAAGATCTTTCCCATGATGGTCTTAGGAACCATGTCTCCATATCTGTAACACATAAAAAAGAACATAGATATGGGTCAGTGGCAACAGTTCAGTGACAAATCAAACAATGAAAACCAGAAGTCTATACAACTTTTTTTTGGGGGGGGGGGGGGCTTAAAAAAAAAATACACTGCCAGTGATGGTGTACATGGGTTAAATCAGTGATATTTTCAGTTTTATTGATTGCTTGATTGTCAGATGACAACAAAATGAGTTCCTGCATATATGTATAAGACACTGATTTTAATTTGATTTTAATTTCAGTTTTTCCAAATATACTGTATTTTCTTCCCTGCATATTTTTTTTTAAATAATTTATTGAAAGATTATACCAGAGATTATAAACAATTATAAAAGTTTTTTCTTCAAGACTTTTCTTCAAGGCCTTTTCAGCCTTATTTCAAATCCCATTAAAAAAAAAACCTATTTAATTTTATAAAAAAAAAAAAAAATGTTCATCATAGAATATGTGTATTCAGGTGCTTTATAATGGAGTTTTGAATTGTAAAATAGTTCCAGGCAAAAACAAATGCCATGTCATTGACCCCGAAATTGCAGAAATAAAACAAGCAGGTTTTAATTATTGCTTCTGTCAGCAACACACTTCTTCAATTTCACCAGCTCAGCATGATACCAGATGGCAGCACTAGGGGGCACTAGAGAATCATATAGCATGGGGCAAACATTCACTCTCCAATTCTATGAAAAGCTCTTTTTTTTTCTGTGTTTGACCCCAGGCTTTTTTCCTCATAAAGCCTTAACATCCTCAAACTTTTAACTTGATGTTAAAAAATTACTGCTCGCACGTGGTGGGAAGAGTTGCATGTATGTGTGGGCTGAGTTTCATACTACGAGATGAAGTTCTCTGACCTACTTTCCCAACTCTGAATATATGATTACATTAAAATAATAACCATTACAATGATCCAAAGCACTTATATTCCACACAATGTCATCCTAAAATGGCATTCATGTGAACATGCTGTCTTGGGAACACACCGTACTGGCACGATTTCATTCTTGTTCCAACAAACACACACTCCCCCCTTCTGTTGTACCACCTCCTCTTCATCTTTTTAAAGCAGGCCAACGCGTGACAAACCAACTCCGTCACTGGCATTCAGGAGACGATCTGTCATCAGTCAACAGAATGAAGATAACACCATCCTGGCTTATCTCATCAGTCCAAAAGCATGTCATTACAATGACACCACTTTAACATTTTGATGGTGATGTTTACTAGTTGCACTTATACCATGATATTACCATGTTTTTGGACATGTATCAAACTACTTTATTCTTTAAAGGACATATATTCATTTATAGGATGCTTTTATCTGAAGTGACTAACAAATGATGAATAGCGCAAGCAAGTAGCATGTAAATGCATACAAATATTGGAATCATTTGGTACCATGGTAGGCCTAAATGTCAAAACACCTCCACAGTATTTTTGCTGTAATCACAGATTTTTCATCACAATGGTTTTACTATGACTGGAATTTTAACACCTGAATTGATATAAAATGTTTCAGGGCATCACCATAAGCCAAGACTTCCATCTTTCAAGTGTTGAAGAATCAGGTCTGACTATTTGCCCTCAAAAAGCATTGTGACTACATTAGCTACACCTTACCTGAATTTAAAACAGTTCAGAGTCACCCAGCAAGCATGCATACATATTCACATTCTCATCTGGAATACACTGTGCTTTGTTTTAAGTAGCTGACATTTTATATTTGTGTACAAACAACAGTGAAAATATCTTAAAGGCATAGTTCACCCAAAAACAGTCATCATTCACTCATCCTCATGTCATTGCAAACCTGTATGACTGTTGGTTGCATTTAATTAGAAATGATGAGTTATAAAGTCATATCGTGAGATACAAATTTGAATTTCTGACATAAAAAGTTGCTATTACTAGAATAATGTTGCATTTATGAATACTGTAAGAGAAAGTAAAAATAGTGAGATTCTAAGAAATGTTGCAGTTACCAAAAATAGTTGCATTTATGTGATATAACTTCACGATAATTAGAACGTCTCAAACACAAGAATGCCACAATTAGGAGAAATAATGTCAAAATTGTGAGAGAAATTGCAACTGACATATGTGTGCATATATATATATATATATATATATATATATATATAGAGAGAGAGAGAGAGAGAGAATAAGTTCTCTATAAGATTAACCGCCTGACTTGTTTATCCATCACAAACCATGACTGTTTTGTCTATACAATAAAAGTCAATGGGGTCCAACAGGGTTGTTCTGGACCTCATTGACAAACATTCTTTAAAATATCCCTGTCACTTTAAGATGAAAAAGCATATACAGAATTGACATCATGGATATGTATATGTGCAGCGTTTTTAACACAATTGAGCTGCACATTTATTTCCACCTGCACACATCTCTTCTCAAAGGACATATGCAATGATTTAAAAGAATTAAAAAATAAATAAATTAGAGTTGTGCATTTCTGAAAGCGGAGTATAGTGTGCCATGACGATGCTGAGAGGCTTCCGTGCTCTAAGTGAAGGATCTAATTGAATTATTGCGATGAGAATGAGCTCAAGGGGCCCGACGCGACAAAAGCCTCAAAAGACTGAGCCATAATTACAGACGGCACCGAGTCGACTTCTCCAGTTAAACGCCTGTAATTAAATATGCCAGTGAGAGAGAAAGGGAGAAAGACAAGACATACAAAAAGTTAAGAGGCTCTCGTTTCTGCTTTGTACCGTGGTCGACACTATGGACGGCACTGACCCAGTCATTCAGAGCCCTGAAAAATATCCATATTAATGGTTACATGAGCTATAGCGGTTTTCATGACTGATCAATTGAGAGCTTTGTGATTCCCTGCACCGACAGACAATAGACTCATTATAAGAGACCAATAAAATCCCTTGTAGGCAATTACTCTCATAATTAGATTTGTGTACATGATGAATATGTTGGCCACTAGCTACTAATCCAAATCCGCACACTAAGCGGTTATTTGCAAAGTGTGTGTGTGCTCTCGCTGGAGCGTCACATTGCTCCACGGCCAGCCTGTACGCAATAAAAGACATTGACCTTGCACTGTCAGGTGTGTGTGTGTGTGTGTGTGTGTGAAGCAAGCTAGCTCACAACTGAGGGTTTCATGAAAGACTTTTGTGAATGCTTTATGCCAAGGCGGTTGGAAGCTTCACACAAGACCCCCTCCTCCCTCATCAATAATTCTGTCTATGCTTTCCTCATCCCTCCCATGAATGCTCAACCATCTGTTTTATCCCATCTTACCATCCTACCTCCTTTCACTCTCTCAGACTCTATAACACACATACATTTTGCGGACAGACACACTCATTCAGACTCACATCAGAGATGTCCCCAGTTAGAGCATGGCTAAAGGCAAGACAAATACACAGAGTTTATCGCATCAACCAACGCTTTCTTCTCCCGAGCTCTTAGCACAAGCAGGTACAAAGTCCTTGACCTGATAATGAAAGATGTTCTCCTGGCATTCAAAGGACTCTAATTTGCTCTCTGCGTTTGTCATTTCTTTGCTGCTCACTGTCCAGTACTGTTACGTATGACAGCATCCCTATTAACCCAGTCGACCTGCACTGGCAATCCTTACACACACAGAAAACTGAGCAAATTATTGCAGTTTAGATCATCACAAGCACCTTTACTGCAGCCCAATATATATGGCAATCACAAGCACACACATATGCATCCATCTCTCCTCTTATGCATCTGTCCTCTTCTGAGGACAGTTTTGTCCTCAAACTATAGCTAATTAAACTCACACTGCTTCTGCAAGAAACTTTGAGAGCACCTTGAAGGACACAGTGCAATTGTGACTGGTGATGCCGTTTGTGTCACGGCTCAGGGAACAGCGTGTGAAATGCGATGAGATATGGAGGAGGAACAGAGCGAGGCCATCTCTGATGGTGAAAACGAGGAATGTGAATAGGTTGGATGCGCTGAAATTTAAATAGAGGAGGGTGAATGGAGCAATCATGGGCAAACATGATACACTCATCACCCAATCATTTAGAGCAATCTCATTCCCCTACTGCGACTCGCTCAGAGTAAATGATCGATAGAGGAGAAGAGAGGTCGAGATGCTAATGTATGCTAAGATGCTAAACAACAGTGAAATCTTCTCTGCTCAAAATTCTAGCAGGCTGCTTATTTTTTTTAGGACATAAGTAGACTTTATGCGAGTATGCAAACGCTGATGCATATCAAGCATTAACATACTTAATGTTCGCTTGTGTGTTAGCTATGGTGGCAACAAACCTCAGTAAAAAAAGTGTTATTCAAAAGGGTGTTATTCAGCTAACTAGCTACAGCACAACTTTGAACTAACTTTAAATAATTAGCTTGAGAAGATTTTTTCTAAAGGGGTCATAGGATGCTACATGCACTTTTAGAAGTTGTCTGAACTTAAATGTGTGTTGGCAGTGTGTGTACACAACCACCCTATAATGATAAAAATCCACCCAGTGTTTCACACATATGCATCCATCTCTCCTCTTATGCATCTGTCCTCTTCTGAGGACAGTTTTGTCCTCAAACTATAGCTAATTAAACTCACACTGCTTCTGCAAGAAACTTTGAGAGCACCTTGAAGGACACAGTGCAATTACGATCCAATCAGCCGGCAAAGGAAAAGGGGTCATCAAATGACACCCACTGTCTGTAAGTAAACAGCTGTAAAAGCATGCACACCCAAACACAGTCTTACATATTACAGGGGGTGGACGAAATCCAGTCAGAGAGACAGAGAGAATGAAAGAAAGACTCATAATATGACAATGAAAGCAGTAAAGCCCTCTATTTTTTTTCTTCCACACTTTCTTTATGAGTCTATATCTATACTCTTCGTCTCTAGCGTTATGTGAAATGAGAGGAGAAGGAAGGATGGATGGAAAGAGACAGTGAGATTAAAAAATACAGAGCTCATTGACTTAATAGCTCTTGCTTCATGAAGCTCTGGACT